GACCACACAGCTATGAGCACGCATCACAACAATGAAATATTTTCGAGTATGAATAGATACAAAGACAGCACCACACTTGAAGATATTATAAACAGGATTACAACGGTCCGGGACTAGTTCAAGACCACACAGCTATGAGCACGCATCACAACAATGAAATATTTTCGAGTATGAATAGTTACAAAGACAGCACCACACTTGAAGATATTATAAACAGGATTACAACGGTAGTTGGACCGTACGATGACCTGCTAATGCAAAAAAATGCAAGCTAAAACTTTTTGGCCATATCACAAGGTCCTCAGGGCTCGCAAAGACCTTCCTTAACGGAACTACGGTGAACAGAAACAGGAAAAAGGAGGTAGACAGAGAAGGCGATGGTAAGACAAAATAAAAGATTGCACGGGCTTGTCATTGAAGGATCTATCCAGGACCAACAAAAAAAAAGGAATTACGAAAGACGGTCATCAAATCATGTGTGGTGCCCCAACGATGAAGGAAGAAGGTGAAAAAGAATAGATAGATAGACAGATAGATAGATAGACCTACTATAAATGTAGTTTTATAGCATATCTTTTGTTAGATCTACAAACTGCATTTGAAAGGCGAACTCATTGCAAATTTAACCAGTTTTCTTAACTAATCAGGTTTCAAATCTCATTCTCAACAAAGTAGTGGCGTAGCTAAGAATTAGACATTATTTGGGGTCCCGGGGGTTAGACCTCTTTCAGGGCCCTCCATTTTGCGTAATATTTAATGTAAAAAAATTGAACACTCATTTGGGGCACGGGGGGGATTTTTCAAATTCTCCCCCCCCCCCTCCCAGCTACGCTACTTCTGCAAAGCAGCAAAGCGGAAAGATTTGTTATTAAGTTTGATGTCTATATCATCATCATCACCAAAATCTATTACAGTGACGACTTGAGAGGTTCAAATCCTCTCTTGCAAAAGCCCTGGACAGAAACCCTGCTGTCTTGCGTAGTGCGTGTATATCATACATGTCGAGAATTTTTAGTTTCCCAGACCTGTCGAGACGGAGATCAGCAAGTTTGACAAGTCTGGGGCAGTCAAACAGAATATGAGGCACGGTTTCCTCTTCTTCCCCGCAGCGGGGGCACCGTAAATCGAAATTTGGCCATAGCCGTGAGAAATATGAGCCAACAGGACAGTGGCCTGTCCTGCACTGTGCTATAATAGCTTGCTCAGGCCTGGACATACTCCAACACGGGGAAGTGCGGTCAGGGCGCCTCATGCGCTCCCAGACTCCACGGGCTTTTGGGGAATAGTCCCAGCACTCAAACCACTTTTCCATTTCTGTTTTTTGAATTATTGCCAGGGCATGATGAAAACTTACAGCCTGTTCAGTTGGTGGAATTCGCCCTCCCTGTTGGACCAAGGAGTCTGCAATAGTGTTGCCAGTCACACCTATGTGACTCGGTACCCACTGCATTATTACAGGGGTTCCATAGCGCTGCTTTATGTTGTGTAAGGCCATGATGACAGTGTCAATATTGGGGGGCCATGGTCCAGGGCTTTGCAAAGCCTGTAGTACAGGTCAGTGACCACAACAATCTGTGTTGCCCTCTAATGTCCCTTGCCGAGTTGAGGGTCAATGACCTTTAAGGCTTCACAGACTGCCATGATCTCCGCATCAAAACTGCAAACACTACAACATGGTCCAAAGATTTTTACTGAGTAAGAGCCAAGAAAGTCGATGTAGGTTCCATAGTCTGCTCTTCCAGAATCTATCGATGCCGACCCAACAATATATGCAAAAATAGCACAGGGCTTGAAGGCATTAATGGTCTCCAGTGCTAGAATTTGAAGATCGTTAGATGAACGACTAAGCTTAGTTGCATTAGGGTCTACTACTTTCAATGTGTATATGACAGTTTAGATTTAACACGATTCATTTTGTTCTAAATCTATATGAGAGTGCATTTAGTGGGACCACATCTGCAAATTAATCGTTCTCAAATTAAATATTTTTTTTGTTCAAATTTTAATAATAATAATAATAATAATCCTTATTGTCCGTATGGAAATTTGCCTTACAATTTGTGCATTACCAAACAAAAAACATTATAACTATAAGAAACCAAAGTGTACATTCACACCAGACTCACTCATAATTTACATGTGACAAAGTTTATACCAGATTGTTTTTATTTAATGATTTGATTGCCAGGGGAACAAAAGAGTGTTTGTGTCTGTTTATCTTTGCTATCGGTGTCTTGTATCTTTTTTGTGATGGTAAAATCACAAAATCCTGACACAAAGAGCGATTCTTTAATTCGAGGATCTTGTTAGCTTTTTTTTTATAGATGTTTGTCTCAAAGAACTGCTTAAATGGGGTTTGTTTTTTGCCAATGATTTTACCAGCAGCATTTAGGATTCTATAAAGTTTATTCTTATTTTTAATGCTCAGATTGCCATACCAGGCAGTGATATTGAAACTTAAAATATTGCAGATATGAGCGTGATAAAACATAGCCAATGCCTTTTCGCTAACATTAAACGAGGACAGTTTTCTTAGTAATCGTAATCTTTGCTGCCCTTTTTTTGCTGATATAATCAGTATTTGCAGTAAAATTTAGTTTATTGTCTAGGATAGTACCAAGGTATTTAAAGGTTTGCACAATTTCAATGGTCTCTCCAGCTACAGAAACATCATCATGTTCCTTCTTTTCCCTACGAAAATCGATTATCATTTCTTTGTTGTTGTTTTTTTAAATTTAATAATAAAAAATTATCTTTACAGTATTTTTCAATGTGTTCTATTTCTTTGAAATACTCATTTACGTCTGAAAGCAGGGCAAGAAGAGCCGCATCATCAGCGTATTTTGTGAAGGAGCAAAAAGGACTATCGGATTGAAAATCATTGGTGTACAAAATGAACCACAATGGCGATTTCACAGCCCCCTGGGGCGCCCCTGTGTTAACTATGCGTTCATTTGATATAACATTGTTTACCCTAACCCTCTGAGATCTCTGGGTCAAAAAATCATTAGCCCATAGTATTATGTATGGACTAATATCCAACGATTTCATCTTTTCAATGAGTAAATGAAGTTGTATAGTGTTAAAAGCTGATGAGAAATCAATAAAGAACAATCTTACATAAGTGTTCGATAAGTCCAGATGTTTGTAGACACAATTTAAAATATTTAGGATGGCATCGCCTACACCTTTACCCTTTTGGTAAGCAAATTGTAAAGGGTCTAACTTATTACAAAGATCATTCAGAGGAAACATTTTAACCAATTTGTCTAAACATTTAGAAACTTGCTGTTTCTATTATTCCAATTCTTGAATAAAGTTTTGTACCCCATTTATTTATTAATTATATAGCTACTTTATAAATAAATGAAATTTCGCTTTCTTAAATATAAAATTATAATAGTTAATAAGAAAATAATAATAAAATTATCTTTTAAAAAAAAAAGTTAAACCCAATCGTGGCATTTTATCTGGCAAGAAAGCGCGGCTTATCAAAGTCCGGTAACTGTAGAAATATAATATAAGCGAAACAAATCATACTTATGTGCACTTTAGTTTCGGACGTCATTTATTCTCAAAAAGTCCTTGCTAGAATAACTTAAGAAGAAGAGACCAAATAAATATATCTATATGAACTTAAGGTTCAATAAATATAGTATATTTCAAAATATGCACTATGATTATACTATAATGTTCCAAAAATTTAAGAAATGTTGCAAATATTTATAGAGCTAATTCGAACATGAGAATAATCAAAGAAAGCTTGCATTCAGGCATCGATTGGTATTTCATACTTATGGTAAAAGTTGTGATGGAGCCTAAAGTCAAATAGAAAGAGTACGAGCTTTTGCCAAACATTTGCCACAAAATGGGGCATGGCGGCTGAGTGGTTAAGCTCTTTGGTTCCAAATCTGGGGTTCTGCTTTCGAATTTCGGTGATGACTGGGGTTTTGAATTTTGGAGTCCACCCAACTCAAATGGGTACCTGACTTTATTTAGGGAAAGCAAAGGCAGTTGGTCGTTGTGCTGGCCACATGAATCCTGCTTGTTAACCACTGAAACTGATGACCCTAACATACATCATCTGCCCTATAGACGGTATGGTCTGAAAGGGGGGAACTACTAAAACTTAAACCACAAAACTATACTAGGAATAAAAAAAAATAAACAATTGGAGTTGAACTGGTAATTAAAGAATACTTTTATAAAAAAAAAGCTTTTATAAAGTGTAAAGGTATCAATTAGTTTGGATCAGTCATGTAATTATATGTATGTTTGACCTAGACATAGTGAATCTGAGCGAAATATTTTTACCAAATGTTTTTGTTTAGCTTTTAGCTTTCTCAGTGTGCTATGGTCCTATCACTTGTCTGGGCCAGTTGTAATAGGGAGAGGGAAGAAGAGGGGTATCTCGGTGAATGTTTCATTATTATCTTTTTTTTTTAATGCATAAAAATTTCACTCAGGCTCAAGAATTTTAAAAGGGACTAATTCAACCTGTACTTTAATTTAAAAACACCTGTAAAGTATGATTTCTTTCCCTTGTTCAAGATACCAATCAAAATAATTAATTAACTAATTGGTTAACTTTTTAAAATTTGATTCTTGTGTTGTCAGGTAAAGGAATTAATTGTGCAAAATTTCAGCTTAATCCAAGATTCGGTGTGGGAGAAATAAGGTGCACAAACTTTTTACCATACACGCAGGCAGAGTGAGTTGATATAAGCTTTATAAATATAGATGACTGTGAATAAAATAAACAGACAGGAAAGCTCTCTTCTTCAATCAATTAGATAGAGCTAATGTATAAAAGCATACAATATTTTGTTCAGACCATTAATAATGAACATTGTTTATTTATTTTTTTATTAGTTTCATACACTCCTTCAGAATTGTAGATGAATATGTCCGAGCCCAAACCTACAGTCTGAACCACATTATACACAATATCAGGTGTCAGCCATCTTAACAGGGCAGTCATTTTATGCTTGCAAAACATAAAAAAAAAAAAAAAAAAAAAAAAAAAGCAAAACCACAAACTGTAAACATTAGAGACATTATTTCATTTATTGTTACCTAAATATCATAAAAAAATCTTTCCTGAATCACACAAAACTTTTTTTTTCATCACAAACAGAATAGTCAAAAAAATATTAAACAAAATTAACTGACATCACAATATAAGCCATGTTTTGTTGCTTGACAAACCAAGCTTCAACTGCACTTCACACCACAACATTCACATGAAATAATATGTCTTCCTTATGACCAGCCATTATTTTAATGACATAAAGCAATAATTAGCTAAATATTTACAGAAACAAAAGAAAACAAAACAACTCACATCACAAACAGAGAAAAGAAAAAAAATAGTACAATTAGTTGATCATTCACAGCTGTACAGTAGTTACAGAGAATGTTTAAATTCACTTCTAGTATATCTTGAATTGTTTTAGACAAAGTTTATTAAACCTAAACAAGATAATTCAAATTTAGAATTTGCTTTTCAGTTGATGTGTAATACTATATAAATCTTGTTATAGGACATATTGCTTGGACCTGCATCTTTAGTTAAATTTAATATATGATTCAATAATTGTTTATAGTTTTTGCAGTGATAATGAATGCACCACAAGGTAACAATATTTTAATCATTAGCAATTATCAACTTTGTTAGATAGTAATTAATTAAAAAATGAAATTAACTCTTTCTCTCCATAATTATATTCCACATTCCAATGGAATTATTCATTTGACTCATTTGTGTTTCATTACCCTGTTATGATTAAATTTCAATAACTTTTGTTATGTAATCAGGAAATGTTATATTAGGTATAAATTATAGAAGAATAAATGCTCTTTTTATATAAAACAAATTAAAGTTTATAAAACCAAAAATTAATTTAATTTAATGGGGTCAAATCAATATTCATATTGTCAGTTAGGAGAGAAAGAGTTAAGGAGATCTAGACTTCAAAATTACATTCATATTGATAACTAGAGATTATGAAACCCCAGTAATGATTGAAATTTTAGTTATTTTAAAGCTGCGATTTCTATGCTCCATTAAATTGATCATGATAAATACAATTGTTATACTTTTTAATTACATAAAACAATAAATGATAAGAAAAAACAAAGGTACAAAACCTTTCTAATACTTTAGCTTGATGTCTTTAACATTAAATTTAAACAAAATAATACAAGTGGATGATGGTGGATCAAAGTAAGCATATTTTTTTCAAAGAATATTAGCTAATTTAATATTTTAAAAATTAGAGCTTTCTAAATTTTGATTTGAAATATGTAAATAAAGATATAAATTAATTTTATGGTACAACAAAAGCAAATAAAAAATTGTTGAAAACTATTAATCTGCCAAACAACATTAGCAAAATATTTTATTATATTTGATCCAATCAAGATATTATTCTTTTTGTCTTAATTAAGCATTATTATTATTTTTTTTTAATGTGCATAATTTCAACTTTATCATCGCTCTAAAAAAAGATTTATCTCAATTCTAAATTGTAAATATTTTGTTTTTGCCTTAAACATAGATAATTTAAAAACAATAAGAAAATTATTTAATAGTGTTACATAAAATCCAAAATTAAGCAAAGGCAACATAATTGTTGACAGCAATAACCACAGATATTTAAGACACTTAATGCAAGCAAGGATTTGAAACAATGTTAAGTTAATAAATAAATTAATCACAGAAATATGTGGAACTCAAAAAAAAGACCAAGCTGACTTAAGTATATTTTTACCAGTTTGCAGCAAATTAAATGCACATACACATTTATTCTTATTCAGTAATATATATATATTTAAATATATATATATACATATATAAATTGAAAAATGAAGTCCTGAAAACATATTAAAAGTAAAAATCAAGTTTTTTAAATTTCAAAGCAGTGAGATTAATGTTTAGCAAATTTTAGAAATGTTTTAAATCAAAAGTAATAGGTGGACATATAAAATAGCTAAAAATACATTCAAGTTCTTAAAAATGATTTCTTGAATACACTGACAAGCAACTGGGTTTATTAATTTTCCCTGAAGCATTATATGTGTTATTTATTACAGGGGATATAAACCTTCGTGTACACATTTTTAAGTGCTTACATTTTTAATGTCTTCTAATTTGAAAACAACAACTAATTGTATCCTTTAAAAAGAGAACTGGGTTTATATAGAGAACTTTGTTGAAAAGATGAAAATAGCTTTGAGAATGATTTGACCTACAAAAATGAGAAAAGAGAAAATAGTAATAATTAACAATGTGCTCATTTTTGTGATAAATTAAAATGAAATAACGATGTCAATAATTAAATAAAATATGTATACATTGATTTGATACACACATATACAAACATTACCTATAACACTAAGAAACTACAATATCATCAACGTTTACATAACTTTTTTTACCCTTATCAGAAATTTCTTTTCTTTATATTGAGTAAAACTTGAATCACTTTTGTTGACCATTTCAACCGGGTATTACAGTTATCACAAAAGTTTTTAAAAAGCAGTAGCCACTGTAGAGACTAAAACCTTTCTGATAACCACTACATTTCTTTTGAGAATATAAACTTTTAGTTATAGATAATCCAATTTGTTAAAGAGTTTTACTGTTTAGGATTCTGGTCATTTAAGTCTTTTAAGCTTCATTGCATTTTAAGTTATTAGTAACAAGAGTTTGGTATCAAGAGTTTTAACATTTTCATTTCATTAAAATATTTACATTTTGGATGAGGAGCTCTCCATTTAAATGAGAATACTAAATAGAAAAGAGGATGAGAAACACAAAAATTGGACAAACTTTCATGGACATAAGACAACATGTTACATTTCAATAATAAAAAAAATTATTAAATTTGATATTTTAAAAATATTTTTAGACATTTCTTTCAAGAACTAAAATTGAAATAAATGGGGTTTTTGGTTTTGACCAGTCCCTCAAATGTTTTTTCCTTTCTTCTTTAAACTTTGGTAACCTTTTACTGAGTCACATGTGTTATGGAGTGTATGTACGAGTTAATGCTGTCATCAGAGGAAAGGTGAGCAGATGTTTGGTTGTGTAGGTTAGAGAAATGCTGTAATGAATGTGAATAAAAGGACAGTTTTAAAAATTGAACAGAAGACAAAATGAGAGATGGGACATGTTTTTGTAGTGATTTATATATTGTTTTAGTTATTTCACTTTTTCCCCCCATAAATCTACTTTCAAGTTTATGTATATTTATAAATAAAAGTTTATTTAAGTTTGTTTAAAAAGAATCCTATTTATACGCCTACATTGATTTAGTTGTACTAGCTGGCTGGAGTTACAACTCAACGACGAGCAACAACAACATATCTGTTGGACATTTTTAAAATGTAGGCTGTTGCTATTTCCAGAAAATAGTCCTTGCTTGTTTGATTTATATGTTTAGGATGTCCCTTCAGAACTGAAAATTAATACATCCTAGCCCAAACCTCTCAGCAGAGTTTAAACCTGAAACCGTTGAGACAACAGTCCAGAGTGCAAACCAGGCAGCAATCCTTTTTGTTATTTAGTGTTCATTAAACAGGCTTATACATATTGAAAGCAATACTTTGAAAAATATGTTAGCTATTGAACCTATTGAATCTTTGAAATTAATAAATATAAAAATTGATCCTTACCAATGAGACAAGATAGTTCAATAAAGCTTAACTTTTTACCAATGCAGATAATATTTTTAAAACATATTTAAAGTATTATTACATTCATAAACAGACTCTTTAAATTAATGAATTGTATGAAACAGCAAAAGGAAATTTAGATAAAAAAGATATTATGCACAAAAACTAAATATTTACCAGCTAATATAAACAATTTAAAAAAAAAAAAAATTTGACAAAAAATTGTCTTATATATAGGCAAGTTTAAAATGGGTGTTAACATGATGTTAAATGTTTCATACATAAATGCGGTTAAATTCAGTAGATATGTAAATCTATGTAAAACTATTTCAACTTTTTATTTATCCAGACCAGAAGTCTGCCATTAAATTAATAGTTGTAGTTAGATCATGTTTTGTAGAAATTTTGTTCATAGAAAACTTGTAGAAAGTTGAATTTGTAAAGCAAAAACTTTCTAGATGATATAATGACAACAAAGAAATAAACAACAGTTGCCAACATTTAGCAAAAAAAAAAAAAAATTTCCTTTTTATTTCTAACATTATATGAAATCTGAACTTCTATGGTAATAAAATCATTAACATTTTTTTTACATTATAAAAGTATCTTTTTGACAAAACATTTCAACGTATTTTATCTTTGCTTATTTGTTAGTTTAACACATATAGTCTACAAATTTCCATTTTGTGCTAGCCATTTTCCTTATGCATGTTTTTCAGTATGTTTTCAACAGCACAGGAGAGAACATTGCAATGTTTAGTCGAAATAAGTTAATAGAATTAAGGAACTAAACTATTAATTCAAAGACCCAGAGGCACAAATTAGTAGGTCGCAGTAGGCCTACAAATAAATTTGCTTTATTCAAAGAGCTAAGAAACAGGGAGAGATTTTGAATTTCAACAAAGGAAATAAAAAAATAATAAGGATAACCTACAAAAGAATTTCCCTCATTATATATTTGATGTTCAATCAGTGTTCTTCCATATATCTGAAAATTTTTTAACAAAAATACCATATTTCTCTTAAAGAAGTTTTTTGAGCAGAGTTTTTTTTGTTTTGCAGCAAAACATTTTCATTTTCAGTTTAATTGCTAGAAATAGCTATTCTTATTAGAAGTTGAAAATTTGTGATGTACAATTGATAGTGATTACAACACGGTGTATGAGAAAAGAGTCCTTGTAATCACAACAAATTTCCATAAGGATCAACAGTCTTAGTCTTAATCACTAGGGCAAACCCACCCAGACTAGACCAGGACTCAAACAAAATGTTATGATAGGAATTCATTGATAGTAGCAGTACTATTTTTGGAGTTTGCTGGCTTTATTGTAATCAGTGGTATTTTATTAGAATTATCAGGAACCATTTGAATCATCCGGAACCAGCATAATCTGACTTTTAAACCCAAATACTTTTTTTTTTTTTACCACAAGTACAAAGAAGGAAAAAACTAACAATGAACAGAATTTGAATTAAGCCAACCAAATTTATATGCATTCAAATGATCTCGATTCCATAGTAGATGTAAAAGCTTTTTCAAATGCAGATAAAAGGATGTATTGTCTCACTTAGATTCAAGCTTTGAAAAAGGAAATAGTTTTATTGCAAGATGCAATGTTTTATTTTGCTGTATATAGCCATGACTAAAAACACACTTATTTTCTTTTCTAATCAACTTGTTTTAAAAGCATTTCAATGTAGGTTTGACAGAGCCATTGTGTAGCCAAGCTAATGACAATGTGTAATAATGCTGTTCTAGGATTTCAGAGACCACTGTAAATGCAATCACAGGCATCACCATGCACCATCATTTACCACTTAATATCAGCATGCGCCATCATTCACCACATGACATCACCATGCAATATTTAAAGTGAAAATAGTGGGGAAAGGATATACATCTTTTTCACTCTTTCAAAACTGTAAAATATTTTTGTTAATCTCAAGATACAAGCCTAATACATTCCCAGCGTAACCTTTTTCCCTTAATTAACAATAACTAAGAATCTATTGAACTGATGTTATAAAGTTGCTTCTACATCTTGTGTCACACTGCCACGTCTGTTTGATGATGGGCCACCATGACCTGGACTGGAGTGAGGCAGATTCAGCTGAGGAACTGGCAAAGAGACCTCTTGCATGGGAGACAACTGACTGGACTCTGAACCTCCTGGACTGTCTAAATATTTCTTGTTGAATTCTGTGAAGGAATTTAAAAAAATCTTCAGCATACTATATCACATATAATTAACAGTGTAATATAGATGTCTACATTTACTTTCAGCTGGTGTATTTCCTTAGAACAGTAAACAGATAATATGACATACTTAACAATGATAATAATTTTATTTATAAAGCGCTATTAAAAAACAAAATATAGGCTCAAGGTGCTGTGATAACATACTTACAGGAATTTGAACAATAAATGTATACGTTTTCATTACCTATATTCTATCATATATCTTTGATAGAGAATGTTGCTATAGCTTATATGTACAGTCATGTGCATTGTAAATGTACTATTGATCTAATATAGGGTCAAGTGATAAGTGTTTGAACATACAGTCTTCAAATGTGACAGTAGTGAAAGCAATAGGGTTGCCTCTCTACCATTAATTTTTTTTTCTTCGCAATTTATAGTAAAGTAGTCAATACTTGTCTT